GGCATCCGCATCAGTAAAAGGATCCCCCCGCACTGTTCAGTGTTCACAGCAGAACTTTTTGCCATCAGGGACGCGGTAGCATGGCTGTCCGTCAATCACACGGAGCATGCCGCGATTCTATCCGACTCGCTAAGCAGCCTCCAATCTATTTTTCTCACCTCTTCTAATTGCAGGTCAGAAGTTATTTCCGAAATAAGAAGAATGATCCACAACTACCAAACCAACAACAACCAGACGATTGAATTAGTATGGGTTCCATCGCACGTCTCCATTCCTGGCAATGATCAAGCAGACCGTTGTGCCAAGGAAAGTCTGAGTCTGGAGGATATCGAGCCTGTAGAATACTCCTATTCGGAGTTCTGCAGTATCGTATCTTCTAGGATCAACCAGAAATGGTCTGACATGTTACGGAACCTCGACACCGCAAGATACCAGATTGATCCGAAGATACCAAACCAAACCAAACCAAACCATCCATGTGTAGCCATCTGCAAAGTGGCAACCAGACTCCGGACCAACAACGTACTACGAGACCATCAGTTCAACGCCATTAAATGTCGCTGCGGCCACGTTGCCACAAGGTCGCATGTCCTCATTCAATGCACTGAACTGAAACCTGCTCGTAAGCCACTACTAGAGTACCTGGAAACCAACGGCATACCACTCACCATACAGAATGTTTTGGCTCCACCCACGGACCACTGGTATACGATAATGTAACTAGTCTTCCATTTTATAACCAAATCTGTCTTGAACAGATAGGCTAAGTTTTTTTTTTTTTTTTAATCAAAGTTTCTTAACACTTTTTAATTATATCCAATCAATTTAACAAGTTTCATAGCAGAAACATTAGAGAACATCTCTCCCCCCTTTTGTGAAAGCTCCCCCCCCCCTCTTTCCTCCCTCTTCTTCTCACTTTCTTTTTTTTTCTTTTTTTTCAGGTCTTCGAGTTTTCCAACAGATAACAGATAATCTAACCAAACCAAACCAAACCAACGACTACCATTCGACTACCAATCAACAAGAATACCATGATCAGAACGAGTTTGGAAGAATGAAGGAGACC